TCAAAGGATTCTCTATAGTCCCTGAGCAAAATGACTTTCATTTTTTGGACTCATCGAAAGTGTGCCCAGGTAGCTGAGAAGGCCACCAGCATCCTGGCCTGGATCAGGAACAGCGTGGGGAGTAGGACTCGGGAGGTGATGGTCCCCCTGTACTGGGCACTGGGGAGGCCCCACCTCGAGGGCTGGGTCCAGTTTTGGGCTCCTCACCACAAAAAAGACATTGAGGGGCTGGAGAAGGGCAACGGAGCTGGGGAGGGGTCTGGAGAAGAAGTCTGATGAGGAGAGGCTGAGGGAGCTGGGGGGGTTCAGCCTGGAGAAGAGGAGGCTGAGGGGAGACCTTCTGGCTCTCTCCAACTCCCTGAAAGGAGGGTGTAGCCAGGGGGGGTCGGTCTCTGCTCCCAAGTCACAGGCCATGGGACAAGAGGAAACGGCCTCAAGTTGCACCAGGGGAGGGTCAGATTGGAGATTGGGAACAATTTTTCCATGGGAAGGGTTCTTAAGCCTTGGACTGGGCTGCCCAGGGAAAGGGTTGAGGCCCCATCTCTGGAGGGATTTCAAAGCCGGGTTGCCATAGTGCTTAGAGCCATGGGTTAGTGATGGTTTTATCAGAGTGAGGGTGATGGTTGGACTGGATGATCTGAAAGGTCCCTTCCAACCCAGACAATTCTGTGATTCTGTGATTCATCAGTTTGATACATTTCCCAGTCACGGGGACTTTGTTTAAACATTTTGTTCTATCAGCAAAGAGTCCAGAGCCTGGTGCTAACACAGCTTTCCTGCCCTAGGGGTGAAATGGGCTGCTGCATTTGCCCTGGCTCTGTTTCTTGGGGGCTGGTTCTGGATTACTGCCAGTTTTCACAGATTTTGGTCTGTCTAGATGGTTAAGAGAGAGTAGAAGAAACCAAGAATATCTGTGAGTTTCCTGCTCAGCTCTGGAGGCCTCCTGTGTGTCTGTAGGCTCTGCGTTAGCCCAGGTGGTTTGTGGTTAAGGTGCTGAAGCCAAGAGCTCTATGGCTGGACATGACGGTCCAGGTTTCCTGGAAAGACCAGTTTGGGATTCTGCTACACAGAGGTCCACTGCTGCAGAGCTGTTTCTGTTGGTGCCACCCAGCACTGGGAACTGAAGCTGCCCAGGGAGGTGGTGGAGTCTCCTTCTCTGGAGACATTCAAACCCACCTGGACACGTTCCTGTGGGACCTGCTCTGGGTGAACCTGTTTTGGCAGGGGGTTGGAGGAGATGATCTCTAGAGGTCCCTTCCAACCCCAGATCATTCTGTGAACTCTGGCACTACCTGGCCCAGGCTGGTCAGTACAGAAACAGGGTTACCTGTGCAGATGGTGGGACTTTTGCTATCTGGCTTGCCAGAAGAAGGCATGGGAGTGAAACAGCCTCTGCTTCCTACTCCTGGAGGGCCAGGTCATGGTGGGGAGATGGTGTGGACCTTCCATGCTTGGTCTTGCTTGGACTTCACCGTCACTTGCTTACTAACCTTCATAGTGCAAACCAAGGACAGGGCACCATAACCTCTGAAGTGCTGAGGATCAGCTACCTGGTTTTTGGAAGGTTTTTGGGTGCAGAGGGTGAAAAAAGGGCCCACAAAGGACAGGAGAAGACTATTCCCTCTGTCTTTGGCTGGTGCTGGTGATCTCTGCGAGCTGGTGAGAAACAAGGTTCAGGGTAGCTGTCACATCTCTCTCTGTCCCTCATCAAGCAGGTATCTTCTGCCCATGTGAGTTGTTAGAAGATGATTGGTGAGGTGCTGGTGTACCTGCTGCTTTTCTGTTGCCCCTTGATGGGTTATCTCCATCCTTTATGGGTTATTAAGGATTAGCTGTGGGTTTTGCTTCCTAGGAAGTGGAAACTGTTGGGGACTGAGGTTTGAGGGCAGGGACTATTTGGGATAATGAAGGCTGGACAATTTGTGGGCACTAACTTGTGATCCCAAGGCTGGGAGAGTTGCGGTGGCAGAGAGTTCCCTTCCCAGCATGGGCTCAGCATGACTGGGTATGCTAGAGGGCTGTGAAGCCAGCCTGGCATGGTGGTACCTGGTCCAGAGACACCTTAATTGGCTGAAAAATGGGGGGAATATTAATTGTATTCTGTATATTCATCGATTTAAGCGTGCGCATGCCAGAACACTTAAATCTTCTGGTTTGTGTGCCCGGTGTGCAGCACAGTATGGTTTTCTCCTGGTGTCAGATCAGAAGTGCCTCCCTCCAGCACCTCATGCCCTGTGTCTGGAAGCTGCTGCAGGTGGCTGCTGTGTGCAGGGGCTGGACCTCCCGCTTGAAACCTGCTTTGGCTGAGCTATTCGTGGGGCAGGAGAACTGAACTGATTCACAAACCAGCAGAGCAAGGGTTGCTTTTCTGCAGTACCTTGCAAGTATCTGTGTTCCTTTCCTGCTACAGGGAAAAACTAATCTTTTTTTCTCTTCTTTTAACCCCCACCCTGTCATTTTCATTCTTTTTTTGTTGCCTGGGCTGGAAAGGGGAGGGAGAAAAGCAGGTGTGACTCTGCAGGGATGCTGGGGTAGCACTGCAGTGAGGTGTGAAGGCGTGGAGAAACACCGGATGCTGCTCAGGAAGCTCTGAGAGCAGGAGTCCAGACTCTCTGGTTTCTGACATCCTGTGCAGACATCACCAGCCTGACATTCAGCATTGCTGCCATCTTGCAGGGCTGCAGACTGAGGTGGAACACAAGTTTAGTGTGGCCAGGCTTGCTCTGGGTGTGAAGGGGGGGCTTGTTTAGAGGTGGGAGGCTCTAAGAGCATCTGCTGTGACCTGTGTCAGGCACCTGAGAGGAGGAAGAGGGCTAGTCCTAATGAGTCAAAGATCCCTGGATGTTCTTCTGCACCCCACTGCCTTTCCTCAGCACGGTGCTTTGCTCTCCCTGAGCTCACTTAGTCCTTTACAGATTAAAGGTGGGTTAGCAGGGAAAATGGCAGAGGGGAAATAACACCAGCAGGCTTCAGCTGGCTAGCAGGAGGTAGTCACCAGATGTGCTGCTGGGCTGCATGGCCCACGTACAGCTGCCTGTCCTGGTTTCCTCTCCTGAAGTGCCATGTGCTTAGAGCACCGGTCCAGGGGCAAAACCAGAAAACAAGCAGTAGCATGTGGAAGTGGGGAGAGTGAGGTCCAAGCTGCTGGTGCTGCCTGGGGCTTGCTGAGATAGTTACTCACAGGAGATGAGCTCCCTTCTCCTGCCTCTGCAACTGGCAGAGGAGGCTGGGGCCGGGCAGTCGGGCTGCTTGGGCATCTCACGGGTCGTCCAAGGGTTCTTGCTTGGAAGAACAGCTGACTCCTCATACCTCTGTTGTGTGTCTCTCAACTCTGGGCCACACACATAACTCATAACATGAAGAAGGTCTTGTGGAAGCCTTGAGAAGGGTTGTGTGCGTGTCCATCTGTCCTGCTGGCTTTGAAGAACAGCAGATGGAGCAGATCTGTGTGCTTGGAGGAGCAAGGGAGCGCCGGAGCTCAGGGATGCCCATCCCTGTCACAATCCGTGGTGGAGCTGAGGACCCATCTGCCCCAGCCAAACCCTGCAGCTCATGTTCCCAGTGCTCAGCCTGCAAATGCTTCAACCTCTCGACCTGCACGCAGGTGCAGAGTTGCTGCTGGGTTGGTTTGCAAGTAACCTTCCAAGGGTTAATGCAGTGTGAGAAGGTTGCAAAGGGCTGAAGCCTGGAATCCCCTCGATCCCTTGCCTGGAGAAACACAAAGTCCAATAAGCCAGCACCCCTGGATTCGTGTTGGGGGGGATTAATTCATGCACTTGATGTTAAAGCTTGTCCGAGAGGTTTGGGCGGGGGGGCCATCGCTAGGGCTGGTTGGGCTCTCTAAATGGTTGCTAGGGCCCTGGCATCAAGGGCCAATGTAACTGCCCACAGCCACGGTCACGGAGGGAATTACACAGCCACAAAGAAATTGTTATTCTACATAATCTGCTCTTTGGAGAGTGACTGTGGGGAAACAGGCTGGCCCCAGCACGCCGCCGGCTCTGTGATCATAGAAGCGTGCTGGCTGCGGAGATCGGCCAGGGCTCGCCTTCTGATCTGGGGACACCGGGGCTCGAGGCGCTAATCTGCTTTATCAGCGATTTCTCTCTCCTGACACAAAGGTGTTTACTTGTTTTAACATCTCCCGGGACTCTATTTCTCCTTTTGTGTGGTCTTTATCCCCCCGACGAGGGCTTTAGCCCAGATTACAGACAGAATTAAGGCATTTGGCGATGTGCCTCAGAACTGTGTGATGCTGGATCAAGGAGCAGAAAGTAACAAAATAATGGGGGGAGATGCTGGGAGTGACCCCACGGCGGGGTCCGTGCTGGTGGCTTTCAGGAGAGCTTCATTGTCCTGAGAACCAAGAGCCTGTTGGAGAGGGGTGGCCGTGGGGCAGGGTTTGAAAAGCAGGTGCTTCAAGGTTTATTGTGGCCGGCGTTTTTGAGTTAGAGGGTGTGAGGAGGAAGAAAAGGAGGGTTTGCAATAGATGACCATTTCAAGCAGCTGGGCAGACTGTCCCCTCTGCTCCCAGGAGCCTACCATGGCAGGGTGCTGCTGGCTGTTGGGGCAGGTGGGGTGATACTGGGCACTGAGGAAATTCCCTGTGGCCCAGGGAAGGGGCTCAAGCTCCTTTTTGCAGTCTGAGCCCCCAGCAGGCACCATCTACGTGGTGAGTTGCTGGTTCTTCACATGAAGCAGCAGAGTGATACAGCCACAAAGCATCTGGCTTAGAGTTTCGTGGAGATTTTGCTTTTGCTCTTTCACAGCAATCAAGGAATTAGAGGAGGAGGGAGTCAAAGGAAAAAATAAAAAAGCTAGCCTTTGGAAAATCATCTCCAGAGTAGCCCTTTGGGGTTTGCTCTTGACCTGCCATGTTCAGCTGCAGAGACAATGTTTGCAGTACACAGTGTGGCTGGAGGGGGTTGAGGAGAGCAGCTATGGCAGACTGGGTCAGGAGGGGCTGATCTGCCTGGGGATGTGAGCTGTGTGTCAGAGAGATGGGGAATACCCCAACGGACGGGATTTTGAAGGATGGAATCTGGGATGGGATGGAATTGACCAGGTAAGTGGCTGTTGCAGATTATCTATGAAGTAGGGAGGTGATTGTGCCCCTGTGCTCAGCACTGGGGAGGCCACACCTGGAGTGTTGTGTCCAGTTTTGGGCACCTCAATACAAGAGAGAGCTGGAGGTGCTGGAGCGAGTGCAGAGGAGGGCGACGGAGCTGGTGAGGGGGCTGGAAAACAAATCGTATGAGGAGCGGCTGAGGGAGTTGGGGCTGTTTAGTGTGAGGAAGAGGAGGCTGAGGGGAGACCTCATCACTCTCTACAACTTCGTGAAAGGACACTGTAGAGAGGTTGGTGCTGGTCTCTTCTCACAGGTAATTAATGACAGAACGAGAGGGAACGGCTTCAAGCTCCAACAGGGTAGGTTTAGACTGAACATTAGGAAAGAATTTTTCACCGAAAGAGTGGTCGGGCATTGGAACAGGCTGCCCAGGGAGGGGGTGGAGTCCCCATCCCTGGCTGTGTTTAAGGGCCGTTTAGATGCAGTGCTGAGGGACATGGTGTAGGGGAGGACTTTGTAGAGTAGGGGAGATGGTTGGACTCGATGATCCCAAGGGTCTCTTCCAACCTCAATGATTCTATGATTCTATGATTCTATGATCTAGAGTTTGACCAAGTTGAGAATTGTCTCCCATGGAAATGGAGACCCATCACTCAGAGTACTGGGCACTTCTCCTAAGGAAAAAGATCCTGTTCTTCTGGGGGTCAGCTGTGCCTGTTCCTTGGCTCTTCCTCTTACAGCTGTGACTCCTGCTGGTCACCCTCCGTGGCAGTAGCAGAAACTGGGGGAGGGAGAGGAAGACTCTGCAGGCTTTTGCATTCTGTTAAAACACAGAAATGAGATCTGGGAGACTTCTGTGACACCATCTCTGCTCTGAATGACTCCTCCCCTGTTGTGCTTTATTGCAGCGGTCAGCTGTTGACCTGCTTAGGGACTGACTTCCACCGTGGAGCTGGAGTCCTTGATGTCTTCTATGAAACACCTTCCCTTCTCCTTTCGTGTGGGTATGACACCTACATCCGCTACTGGGACATACGGACCAGCACCAGGTGAGCCTGCCCCGCTGGCATCTGTCTGGGGACTCACCTGCAGCTCCTTGGGGCAAACTGGGCCTCAGTTCCAGGGGTGGAGGAGTGGGAGGCTCAGCCCCGCTCTGATTTGTGTTGTCCTTGCAGGAAGTGTGTCCAGGAGTGGGAAGAGCCCCACGACAGCGCCCTGTACTGCGTCAGGAGCGACAGGAACCACATGATCGCCAGCGGCTCGTCCTACTACGGCGTGGTGCGCCTCTGGGACAAGCGGCAGACACGGTGCCTGCAGGTGAGGGCTGCACCACAGCTTCGGGGTCGTTCTCTGGCACCCAGGTGCCTGTGTCACTGAATTTCACTGAATTTCACTGAATTTTAGAGTTGGAAGGGACCATAGAGATCACCTAGTCCAACTCCCCTGCTGAAGCAGGATTGCCTAGAGCTTGTCAGAGCATGTTACTCAGGAGCATCCAGGCGGTTCTTGAAAATCTCCAGAGAAGGGGACTCCACACCCTCCCTGGGCAGCCTGTTCCAGGGCTCTGCCACCCTCACCGTGAAGAAGTTTCTCCTCATATTTGAGTGGAACCTCTTCTGTTCCAACTTGTGCCCGTTGCCCCTCGTCCTCTCAGTGGGAACCACTGAAAAGAGTCTGGCTCCCTCCTCCTTCAACCCACCCTTGAGATACTTGTAGGCGTTGATAAGGTCTCCCCTCAGCCTTCTCTTCTCCAGACTAAAGAGTCCCAGCTCTCTCAGTCTCTCCTCATAAGGGAGATGTTCCAATCCTTGAATCATCTTTGTTGCCCTTCGCTGGACTCTTTCTAGTAGTTCCCTGTCCCTCTTGAACTGGGGAGCCCAGAACTGGACACAGTACTCCAGTTGTGGCCTCACCAGTGCAGAGTAGAGGGGGAGAATGACTTCCCTTGACCTGCTGGCTACACTCTTCCCTACGCAACCCAAGATACCATTGGCCTTCCTGGCCGCAAGAGCACACTGTTTACTCATTGTCATTTTACTGTCCACCAGGACCCCTAGATCTTTCTCTTCAGTAGTTGCCTCTAGCAGGTCCACCCCTAACCTGTACTGGTACCTGGTGTCTCTTTGGAAGAAGAGACAGAGGCTGCTGGGCCACCTTTGGGGCGAGCCCACCGTGGGCAACCTAACGTGTACGTGGGGGAAAGCCTGCTGTGCTCAGGCATCTCTGCCTCGGGGTCTGTAACGCTCTTTGGGGTCTTTGGGCTGAGTTCTTCTCTGAAACGTGGATTCTCCTGTTTTCCTGCAGAGCTTTCACCTCTCCTCACCCACCAGCAGCCCCGTGTACTGCCTGCGTTTCAGCACCACCCATCTCTACGCTGCCCTGGCCTCAGCCCTGCACGTCCTCGACTTCACCGCCCCGTGAAGGGCACCGCAGCTGCTCCTGCTCACCCCGACTCAGCAGAGTTGGCACTTGGCTCAGGGAATCACAGGGCAGGGGAGGTGAGAGTGGCCCCCAAGCCTTCTGAAGGGATATTTTTTTTATTTTTTTTTTTTTGCCTGCCAGAAAGCTACACCCAAGAGTGCACAAAGGGCCAGACTTTCTCAACCTCACCTGCCCGTTAGGGGAATAAAACATATTGTCCTTTACCCTTTTTATTTCGTGCAAGTCAGGGTTTGTTTTATTAACTGTGTTTTATTTTCTTTTTCTTTTTTTTTTAAGTCTTTTTTTCTGTGGATACAGCGTTTGAGGGGCAGGTTGAGCCAGGATGCCCCACGAGCTGGTCAGGCTGAGATCAGCCAAGCTCTGAGCCACGTGAAGCAAGTCGAGGCTGTGTGTGGGGTGGAGACTGATTTGGTGAAAGGGAAAGGTGCCTGGAGCAGGGCCCACCTTTCTCCTGCCCTTGCTCTCCCCACGGCTGCTTGGGTTTGTCCCGTGCAGCCAAGAGGGAGAATGGAGCTCAAAGGCAGAGCCAGCCCTGCTGTCAGTGTGTGCCTCCCCGAGCTGGCCGTCAGGTCAGGCTCTGCACTTGGCAGGGCTCAAACGGTCGCCTTTTGCTAAATAAAACTCTGAAGGGAAACAAAAGAGGTGGTATGTCTTGTTTCAAACTCCAGTGTTACCCGCCGATCGCAGAAGCTTGGCTGGGTGGAGGAGGCTGGGCCTGTTTTCAGACACTGTCTACGTGTCTGATGGATATCTGTCCCTGGCCAGGGCCTGGGGTACTGCTGCATTGAAGGCAGTTCCTGGGATCTTGGATCTCGAGTCACTTCATGAAATGAGAATTCAGAAAGTAGGATTTGCAACTGGCTTGTTGCTGACAGAATGAAGCAGCGAACAGGAGTAGTGCAAACACCAAGGCCTTGATGAGAAGAGCTCGGAGGAAAAAGACCTGGGAGTCCTGGTGGACAACAGGATGCCCATGAGCCAGCAATGGGCCCTTGTGGCCAAGAAGGCCAAGGGCATCCTGGGGGGCATCAGGAAGAGTGTGAGCAGCAGGTGGAGGGAGGTCATCCTGCCCCTCTGCTCTGCCCTGGGGAGGCCCCAGCTGGAGCACTGGGACCAGTTCTGGGCTCCCCAGTTCCAGAAGGACAGGGAACTGCTGGAGAGGGGACAGCAGAGGCTACAGAGATGATGAGGGGCCTGGAGCATCTCTCTGATGAGGAAAGGCTGAGGGACTTGGGTCTTTTGAGTCTGGAGAAGAGAAGGCTGAGGGGGGATCTGATCAACACCTATAAATACTTCAAGGGTGGGTGTCAGGAGGATGGGGCCAGGCTTTTTCCAGTGGTGCCCAGGGACAGGACAAGAGGGAATGGGCACAAACTGGAATATGGGAAGTTCCACCTAAACATGAGGAGGAACTTCTTTGCTGTGAGGGTGGCAGAGCCCTGGCAGAGGCTGCCCAGAGAGGTGGTGGAGTCTCCTTCTCTGGAGACATTCAAACCCACCTGGACACGTTCCTGTGGGATCTGCTCTGGGTGGCCCTGCTCTGGCAGGGGGTTGGACTGGATGATCTCCAGAGGTCCCTTCCAACCCCATAGCATTCTGTGATTTATGGGGATCCTGTGGGCACATTTAAGAGGGCTCTGCTCTTTTTTGTGTCAGCCTCCTGAACCCAGCTGGGTCTGAGAAGAACCATGGCTTCCAGCGTGCTCTGGGCTGTCTGGATGAAGGTGGGTGTCCGTGGATGAATGTGCTGTGGGTGGATGCAGCGGTGTCTGGGGTCTGGTCCTCCTTGGGGAAGGAGGGGCGTGAACTCTACTTGGGTGAGTGTTTGGGAATCCTGGAGAGGTAAAGGAGAGGTTTTGTATCACAGATGGGGAGCATTTGCAGGGCAAAGCACACAGCATGTTAGAACTTCTCTTTGTTAGAACTTACTGGGTAATTTCCACCATCAAGAGGCTGCTCTTCCCTTGTGATGCACAAAAATTGGCAGGGGCTGTTTGCTGGAGCCCCTGCCTGAGCAGGGGGGGAGTGGAACCAAGGAGCTCCTCAGCTGCTTCAAGGGAGCCCTCCATTCCCAGGGGATGGGAGAGAGGAGCTCAGGGCACAAAGGAAAAGCTTTGCTGCAGGATCACGTTCCTCACAAGGATCTTTCCATGGAGCTCCCTGTCGCAGTTCCTGATCTGAGCCTGTTCCCCTGCTGTCACTCCTGCCTGCCTGGGGCCAGGCTGCCATAGTTCTACCTGTTCTCCTTGTGTAAGTGGCAGAGTTGAGGTCTCAGTGCCCCGAGCAATGATCTGCTGCTGTAAAAAGAAGCCATGGCTGGAACCATCTTCCATCGGCTCCAAGCGATAGATCCCAAGGACTGAAACCCCAAGACAAGGATTCAGGGGGGCCCTCGGGGCGATTGGTAACACTGAGCTGCTGCTGAGAAGATGGTGCTTTGCAGCGGGGGTTGCTAAATGCTGCTGCTGTGTTGCTTGGGGTAATATGGGTGAGGAGACAAGACCAGAGAGAGCTGGCAGAGCTTGGGAAGGGGGAGGTCTGGTTTTTCTCAGGTCCTGGTGTGTTCCAGGTCCTTTAATGAAAGTGGGAGGGAGGGATGGAGATATTAAATGACTTTGTCAGTGTCCCCAGGGAGGGGCTGTGAAGGAACTGGAGTAACTGTGGGGTGGGAGGAGAGGTTCTGTATTGCACGGGGACTTGGGCAAGGGCAAGAGAGTGGCTGCATGAGCTGAGCAGGTGAGCAAGTGTCGCTGGTGCAGGAAACTCCTCCCATGACAGGCCTCTGCTGCTGCCCCTCCTGCCCTGTCTTTTCCACAGCCCATGTTGGTGGGTCCTGCACTCCAGGAGCTGCTTTTGGGTTCTTCCTGGGTGAGGCCTGGAGCAGAGCTGCCAGCAGTGGTCAGTAGCAGGATGCAACCTCACGTTTCAGGTGACGTTGGGGAACAGGGAAGCTACAAGTGGGGCTGGCTCTGCTGAGCTCTACCTGTCAGTGGTGCAGGGCAACAGAGAGGATGGAGGGGTTGGAGCATCTCCCTGATGAGGAAAGGCTGAGAGAGCTGGGGCTCTTGAGCCTGGAGAAGAGAAGGCTGAGGGGAGACCTTCTTCATGCTGACAAGTCTCTAAAGGGGGGGTTGGAGGAGGATGGAGCCGGACTCTTTCCAGTGGTTCCCAGGGACAGGCCGAGGGGCAACGGGCACAAGCTGGACCATGGGAAGTTCCACTCCAATGGGAGGAAGAACTTGTTTGGGGTGAGGGTGGCAGAGCCCTGGGACAGGCTGCCCAGGGAGGGTGTGGAGTCCCCTTCTCTGGAGATCTTCAAGCCCCGCCTGGATGCTCCTGAGTGATGTGCTCTGGGCAGCCCTGCTTTGGCCGGGGGGTTGGACTGGAGGGTCTCTAGAGGTCCCTTCCAACTCTGACAATTCCCTGATTCCATGCCTCCGCTGTCTGGGGAGGACTATATGCAGGTGGATCCTGGAGCCACCCAGCAGCGAGGCACATTCTAACTGGGGATGCCACCCAGGCTCCAAGAAGTCTTTGTGGTTTGGGAGCAGCCCTCAGCAGGGGAGCTACACCAGGAGGCTGCACCAGCTCACTTCAAAGCAGGGTTTGTTTGGGTAGGGGCTGCTCAAACATAAACCGGGATGGAAGGACATGCAGAAACCCAAGCACAGGGGTGGCTGGTTAAGGGCGGAGGCAGGAGCCGGTTGGAGGGTGCGTTGCTCAGGCTGTGCTGCTGGGGTTGTCCCTGTGCCCGGGGGCACTGGCCGTGCAGCCAGGTCTGTGATGGGCCATTGGTGTCCCCACGGGAGGGCTCTGCTGCTGCTGCTGCTCCTCAGCTGCCCCACGGCACCCACCACCGCTCCCCACTCCCCGCTGTGCAAATGGAGGTGGCCAGGTTTGTGTCCCCACACTCTGCACCTCAAGCTGCAGGTGGCTGGTGGGAGGGAAGGGCTCGGGTGTTGGCCTCTTCACCCCATCCTGTGGGCTGTGCCCCTTCGGGCAGTGCCCATCAGCCTTGGTGCTGTTGGAGAGGTACCAGGGTCACCAGAGCATCCTGCTGACGGCAGGAAGGACCTTGCACAGCAGCACAGGAAGGAGCTGCTTCCCAGCACATCCCGGGCAGGTAATGGGTGCAAGGAGGGGGATCTTGTTTTCCAAATGTTGCTGCTCTCAGTGATGGGGGCAGAGAGAGGAACTTTAGCTTTCATGTGGCTTCTGCTCTCGGAGGACAAGGAGTGAGCTGCTGGCCATGGACATGGTGTGTTTCCTTTGCACGCTGCAGGGTCCCACAACTCATAGAAGGATCACAAACGTGTGTGTAAATCAGCAGATCAAGCAGTAAAGAGACTGACTGTCCCCTGCAAAGATTCCTCCAAGCATCTCTATTAACAACAGGGCTAATTTTTATTGGAAAAGGCAAAATAAATACCACGAACCTGTGCTGGAGACCTGCCCCCCCCCCCACCTCAGCCTCTTAGCAGCCTCTGCCTACTGGGTCTTGCAGTCACCATCCCCGTTGTTTGCTGCCTTCATCTTCTTCAGCTCCTTCTGCAGCTGCTCTTCTGCAGCCAGGATCTCCTTCGGCTTCTGGTACTGGAGGACAGAGAGAAATGCCCTTAGTGCTCCTCTTCAGCCTCTGCTCCAAGCTGACCAGCTGGGGCCCTGCTGCCAAGGGAGGCCTTTCTGTTACCAGCTGCCTCCAAAGCCCCCGTGGCCAGGTGGTGCCATCACGCCAGGGACATTTAAAAAGATCTGGGGTGTCTTTTACAATGCAAGTAAATCTTCCCAGTTGGATGTGGAGCCCTGGTCCCCACCAACCCCTCTGGAACACCCTGAGGAGCCGTGCCACGCGGGTCCCTGGTCTGCTCACCCGTTGTTATATGTTTTTAAAAAGGTGGGCAGAGAAGCAGGAGTTGCAGTTCTGTTCTCCTGTCAGAGCCCCCTTGCCCAGCTGCAGTTTAGTGGTGGATGCAGGTGCTTTTTAGCAAAGGCTCGTGCCTGCAGCAAACAGCAGCTGAGAAGGACTCAGGGTGCTCCCCTTTTCTCTGCACGTGCCCCCCCAGCTCCACTGTGGGGTCTCCCTCTGAGGGGGTGCTCTCTGGGACCTGATTTCTACGTTTAAGGACACAAGCACCTGCCCCTCAAAAGCAGCTGTCTGCTCCTGTCTGCTCCTCACAACACGTGGCTGCTTTGCTGTCTCTCACTTCCCCCGTGTGTGTGGAAGAGTGTCCTCTCCCTGTGTCCTCTCCCACAGAAACCAGCAGGTGATTTTTATATTTTTTTATATTTTTTAAGAGTGCAAGACCTCTAAGAGCAGCAGGTCCTTGGACTCCTAACGCTGATACACTGAGATGAGAAACTTGCTGTTGCCGAGAGCAGAGGTTTGCTCAGGACTACGGGAGGGGATAAATGGGGGAAAAAAGGGCAGGATGGACACTCTTTCACTCGCAAGTCACCTTGAGCAGGGAGCAGGGCCCCTCCTGTGGCCCGGGCTGTCCTGGCCAGTGTCAGCACGCCCGGTGTAACCTGAAACTCCCACCGACTGTGTGACAGGGAAGGGGGCTCAGCAGTGACCCTCAGCACATCTCCCTGCTCTGCCTCATTTCCCCATGTGTAAGAATTTTTAACTTCTTTGTGGAAATAAAAAGAAGGGCAAAGTGCTGTTCCGTGGGGCTAAAACCTCACCGTGATGATGAGGGTGTTGTTGGCATGAGTGAAGCTCAGGGCAGCTGCGTCCAAGGGGAGCTGGTATCGGTCCAGGTCAGGGATGGAGAACTTTTTGTAGTACCTACAAATGAGAGAGGAGACAGAAATGAGGAAGGTGGGGTTCCTACTCCCCTGCCGGCAGTGCTGGGCTATAAGTGCTGTTCCACAAGGCCTGGATGAGGGTAACAGACCTCTCAGGGTTGGCAGGAGGACCTGGTGCCATGTTGAGTGCCTGCTGGTGCCCCCAGGCTGGCAGGAGCACTGGAAACAAACCTCCAAATTGGAAATCAGAGCTGGCAGAGTCCTGAAGGGCTTTAGTGTGTGAGTAGGCTTGGTCCCTCCAGCTTGCCCTCGAGTGGTGCCAGACACGGTTAGAGCCAGACTCCTCAGCCCTACCAAGAGGTGTCCCTTATCTCTGTCCCTGCTCTCATTCCTTCTAAGCACCAGCTTCCATTAGCTCTTGTCAAAACAGCTGTCAGAGCCCTTGTGCCCTGTGACTTCCCTGAGTGATGCACTGGTTTGTGTTGCAGTCCCTCTTAAACCCGTATTTTTGGCCTCTTGCTGTTGTTCTGAGATCACTTCCTCCTGTGGTGGCCCCGTGGTGCTCAGGCACGACCCTGGGCACAGAGCTCCTGGTGTAGCTACCCGCAGTCACCCCCACCTCTGCCCTGCAGAGTCTCCCTGCAGCCCCCGTGGTGGCCGTGGTGCTTCTCTGCACTCTCAGCTCCCCCAGCTGCAATTTTGCCTGGTCTCTATCCCAATCACCACTCCCACCCAAGCAGAGGACGACACCAAGCTGTGTGGTGTTGTGGATACACCAGAGGGATGGGATGTCATCCAAAAGGACCTGGACAGGCTGGAGAGGTGGGCCCAGGTGAACCTCATGAGGTTCAACAAGAGCAAATGCAAGGTTCTGCACCTGAGCCAGAACAATCCTCACCATCAGCACAGACTGGGGGGTGAGATATTGGAAAGCAGCCCTGAGGAAAGGGACTTGGGGGTGCTGGTGGATGAGAAGCTGGACATGAGCAGGCAGTGGGCAGCTGCAGCCCAGAAGGCCAATCCCATCCTGGGCTGCATCAAAAGAAGCGTTGCCAGCAGGTCCAGAGAGGGGATTCTGCCACTTTGCTCTGGTGAGACCTCACCTGGAGTATTGTGTGCAGGTCTGGAGCCCTCAATATAAGAAGGACATGGACCTGATGGAGAGGGTCCAGAGGAGGGCCACAAGGATGATCAGGGGGATGGAGCACCTCTGCTACGAGGACAGGCTGAGGGAGCTGGGGTTGTTCAGCCTGGAGAAGAGAAGGCTCCGGGGAGACCTAATAGCAGCCTTCCAGTACCTGAGGGGGGGCTACAGGAAGGCTGGGGAGAGCCTGTTTAGAAAGGCCTGCGGTGACAGGATGAGGGGAAATGGCTTCAAGCTGGAGGGGAACAGATTTAGACTGGAGATGAGGAGAGGGTTCTTCACTGTGAGGGTGGTGGAGCACTGGGAAAGGTTGCCCAGGGAGGTGGTTGAGGCCCCATCCCTGGAGATATTCAAGGTGAGGCTCGACGAGGCCCTGGGCAACCTGGTCTAGTTGGGGGTGTCCCTGCTGACTGCGGGGGGGTCGGACTAGATGGCCTTTGGAGGTCCCTTCTGGCCTGGGCAATTCTATGATTCTATGACAGGGAGATTTTTACCAGCTCTTTATCCAGCCTGTGTCTCTCCACCAACCAAACCTTGGCACTTGCTAAGCACAAAGGGAAAGGGATGTGTTTCAGAGAGAACTGCAGTGGTTATAAGCTGTCTAGGCAGCTAAAAGATTCCCTAAGACTTTGGGGCCAGAACCTCATAGATCTGTGTCTGTGTTTGCCTGAGACCTTTCCTTCTTGGCCGTGCATCTGCTCCTTCTCTCTGGGGCTGCACCAAATACAGGAGTTGGTGGTCCTGTGCCCGTGTAGAAGCAAGGTTGGGTTCTTCATCTCTTCCAGCAATCTCATGGGCAATCCCCTCCCAGGGATTGTCCTGTGGCTGGTACCACGATGCCCAGAGCAGGGTGGGAGCAGGCGGTGGCCGCTGTCTTGCCATGAGGGGTTCTTCTCCATTCAGCTGGCTGTGCATGAGGCTTGGCCTCTCCAGCTACCTCTGCCCAAATTGCAGTTTATTTTCCAAGTCAGGGTGAAAACAGCTACAAAGGGCAAATGGCTCTCCTGGTGCAGTGGGAGGAATGTACACAGCTTGTTACCGCGGGGCTCAAACCCTTCTGTGTTGTCACTGCTGTCGGTATTTGGAAAAGGTGGCAGACATGGATAATAAGGGAGATGTCAAAGGTTAAACAGCAGAGATTAGATGAACACAAAGACATGTTAAGGAAGTGTTAACTTCTTACCGATTAGACAAAAAAAAAAAAAAAAAAAAAAAAAAAAAAAAAAAAAAAACCCCTTTTAGCAAAAAAAAAAAAAAAAAAAAAGCAGTACACAGAAAAAAACCCACTGTTTCAAAGGGCCTTGGGAGTCATCAATGAAACAGCAGCATTCTGCTGCCCCAGGACTAAGGAGAAGGGGAGAAGAATGGCTTTGGCTGGCCTCAAACTAAAATCTGTGACAAGATCAAAGGAAACCAGATCTGCCTGGCCACCCCCTCCTCCTCCTAACGTTACCGCTGCCTCTCGCTACAATAATTGAATCAGGTTTGGCGTTTGGGGAGGTGGCTTTCCGGGTTTGTTTTTAGAGTTTAGTTTAATGGATTTATTTTACAGCAAGAGGTTTTAAGCAAATCCCACTTGAGCAGCCCTTGCCGTGGCCAGAGGGAAGGGGATTGACTGGTGGAAGTGAAGAGCTCCTGTCTGGGCTGGGGAGGCAGCTGAGGGACGGTTATCCCTGCGGAGGGAGGTGGATTCTCTGCCCTCGCCTCTCACCCCATGGCCAAGGGCAGTACTGCACTCTCAGCCCGGGCCTATGTGAAGTCACCTCCATTATTTTCCTACTGGAAACCCACTTTTTTGTCAGCCGGTGGGGAAAACTGCTACTGGTATGCTGAGAATTTAGAGCTGAGCTACTCAGCAGTGACTTGGCAACCCGTCCCGCTGCCTGTGCCTCTGGCTGGCGGTCAGCAGAGCTCTGCTGCTCAGAAGCAGCGTGGCCGACTTCCAAGGGCTGGAGAGCCTCCCAGGCTTCCTTTCTCTCCCGTAGCGATGCGTGCTCTCTGCGGACTCCGTGCCTTTGTTGCTATCTTGGAATTAGCTGCTGAGTGCTGTCTTGCCCTGGCCAAGACCCAGGAGAAATGATATAAGATATCTCGGAGCCTGTAATAAGTGTTGGTCGGGGTGTTGGTCAACTGTCGGCTGAACAGGAGCCAGCAGTGTGCCCAGGTGGCCAAGAAGGCCACCAGCATCCTGGCCTGTGTCAGGAACAGCGTGGGGAGTAGGACTCGGGAGGTGATGGTCCCCCTGTACTAGGCACTGGTGAGGCCTCACCTTGAGTACTGTGTCCAGTTTTGGGCCCCCCACCATAAAAAAGACCTTGAGGTGCTGGAGCGGGTCCAGAGAAGGGCAACAAGGATGGTGAGGGGTCTGGAGAAGAAGTCTTATGAGGAGAGGCTGAGGGAACTGGGGTTGTTCAGCCTGGAGAAGAGGAGGCTGAGGGGAGACCTTATTGCTCTCTGCAACTCCCTGAAAGGAGGGTGTAGAGAGGTGGGGGTCGGTCTCTTTTCTCAAGTCACAGGCGACAGGACAAGAGGAAATGGCCTCAAGTTGCGCCAGGGGAGGTTCAGGCTGGATATTAGGAACAATTTTTTCACTGAAAGGGTTCTCAGGCATTGGAATGGGCTGCCCAGGGAGGTGGTTGAGGCCCCATCCCTGGAGGTGTTCAAAAGACGGGTTGATGTAGTGCTGGGAGGTATGGTTTAATGATGATGCTCCTTGTTTGTTGTGTGGGTGTCTATTTTTGTCAGTCAGGTTGACGGTTGGACAAGATGATCTTTAAGGTCCCTTCCAACCTAGAAGATTCTGTGATTCTGTTCTGGTGCTGGAGTCTGTCCCTTCTCCCTGTTGACAGCAAAGTCATTCTTGTCCCCAACGAGGAGACTTTCAGCTTTAATTACAAAAGTCCTTAGCTTTCATATGCAGGTCATGAGCCACTTTCAGGTCCTTTAACCCTCCCTGGTCTATGAGGGTGTGGGAGCTGACTGCTTGTGGGGGGAGACTACTGCTTTCCTGACGGGGGGACAAAAATGCTTGAAGTCAGGTAGGGCACAGGTGAAGCTCAGTGGTTCACTACAACCTTACAGCACCTACACAGCCAAGGAAGTTCCCACTTACATGCTACTATTAGAAGGACTGGGAGTAGATAAGCCTGTCTGTGATAGTGTGTGGTTGGACTTAGGCTCACGTTGTCCCTTCCTGCCCTAGCTCCATGGGTACCCGATGGGAATCTCATTCATCTTTGCTACACAGGTCTCCCTACTGAAGTGCCACTCTCTTATGAACCTCTCTGTGTGGATACAGGCCAGCCTCTTTCTCTATTAGAGCTGGAATTGCTCGCTGCTTTCATGGGGCAGGCTCCCCCTTCCTCCCACCTGGCTCCTGGCTGCCTCCTGCTTCTGAGCATCCAGGTGTGCTCTCCTGCAGAGCTCAGACAGCCCCTTGCCACCGCCTCTGATGTGGTAAAACCCTCTCCTGGAGATTTTGCGGGTTCTGTGATCCCGAAGGCGCTCAGCAAAGCCCAGTCCTTTGCCAACAGCGCCACCTACAGCCAGCGACAGAGAGGGGCTCACAGAGGGCAGGGGCCAACTGGTCGATTTTGTGGATTTTACCCATGAATCTGATCCTTCTCTGTTCTCAGCAGTGTTGGGGAGGGAAGGCAAGCAGAGAGCAGCCTGCCCAGCTTTCCACACCGGTGTAGTATCCCAGTTTGTAAATAGCTTTCACTTATCTTCCAATATCACAGAATCACAGAATCTTCTAGGTTGGAAGGGACCTTAAAGATCATCTTGTCCAACCATCAACCTGACTGACAAAAATAGACACCCGCACAACAAACAAGGAGCATCATCACTAAACCAGACCTCCCAGCACTACATCAACCCATCTTTTGAACACCTCCAGGGATGGGGCCTCAACCACCTCCCTGGGCAGCCCAGACCAGTGTCTGATAACCCTTTCAGTGAAAAAACTTTTCCTAATATCCAGCCTGAACCTCCCCTGGTGCAACTTGAGGCCATTTCCTCTCATCCTGTCGCCTGGGACTTGAGAAAAGAGACCGACCCCCACCTCTCTACACCCTCCTTTCAGGGAGTTGTATATCCTCCCTTGTTCTCCCAATACTTGCTCCTTGCCATCTCCTCCCAGTATCACTGCTCACCCTGCCTTATCTCACTGAGGCTGTAAATGCTCTGCAGCACGGTGTGTCCCTCATTCACTGAGAGAGGTGCAGTATAAGATGTTTCTTCACAGCTCCCCCCCGTCCTCCCACATCTCAGCTTTCTTTTGGCAGAATACTGTGGTGCTTCCTTTCTAAATTCAGCCTGGCTTTTTTTCCTTGCTACCTCCTTGCCTTGTGCCAACGGCTTTACGCAGGGGAATCTGTCTGCCAGGGTGCCCGTGACTTTGTTGTCCCTGTTGAGTCCTACAGCTCCACATGTTTTGAGATACAATGACTAGATCAAAGTATCATGTCAGGATGGAGAGAAGATGGGATGCCCTAGCTTCAAAGGCTCTGCAGAGCTCTGACTTTATTTTTCTAAGGGAGTGACATTTGACAGGGAAAGAAGAGAGAAAACACCATGCTATTGGAACTGTAAGATTAGTTTGCAAAAGTCAGCGCAGAGCTTGAGGGGCTCTACTAAATGCACCAGGGTAGCTGGGACTAGAAATTAGACAGCAGGAAACATGCAGCTGTGAGGTGGGGACCCTCAGCCCTCGCACGCTAGGAACAGAAGGGAAGAGAGGACAACCTCCCTGTGCCATCACTAGCCTGCCCTCTGTGCCAGCCCACCCCCAGGGATTGTCAGCACTGGCAGTGCTGTCCTTACTGACTTCTTGTTGGTGGTGCGGACGACGCAGCAGCGCTGCTCCTTCTCCACAGAGACGCTGTAGACCTCCTCGGGGTAGGGCAGGTTACGGATCCGCCACTGGAAGCTGCTCAGGGTATCCTTCCTCACGAAGACAGGCTGCAGCAAACAAGTACCTTTAGCAAGGCCTCTTCAGCTGCCTCCTCTCTTCCCTGTCCCCTTCTTCCCACACTACCTCAAGAGGCTCCACAGGGAAGTAGCTGTTTCCACACTGGAGCATTAGGGAGTAACTTGGGAAAGTGCCTGAGCATCAGCACCTTCCTAGAGCTGGTGCTGCTCTGCCTTTACTCAGGGCACTGCCTGCTCTGCTTGTAGGAGGCTGAAAGTGTTCAGCAGGAGAGTCTTGTGGTACAGGGTTACAGGGAAACCAGGCTTTTTCCTCACAGGCAACCGAATACTGAGCTCTGCCTGCCCTAGGGACCTGCTGCATTCAGGCCTGGCTCTGCCCCGTTTTGCTGTGCAGGGCTGTGCTTGTGTGTTGGGTCTGTAGAAAAGATGGTGAGAGACTAGAACCTCTTCCCCCTAAGCTAGTGGCACGTGAAGATGAGACAGGCTGTGGTATGTTAAGGAGCAGCCTGCTATGCACTGCCTGTGTCAGCCTTTCATTCTCATTGTCCCTGCTTTCCACCCACTGACTCGTCCTAGCACTGCCTGCCCTTTCAGACTACTTTTCTAAAAGCCCCAGTAGCAGTTGGCCAACACAGCAGTACAGTTTCTCTGTTCAAGGAAACTACAAATCTTCTGAAGACCCTAAAAGAACCTAAGCTGTACTGTCTTTCCACCCAGCCCTATACCTTCAGGATGATTCATAGCAGGGTGCTGGGCAGGGTAAGGCTGTCTCTTGGGGCTGTGAGTTATCTGTGGTATCTACCAACTACTGCTGCAAGCACAAGACTAGGTAGTTGAAGGTGCAGTTGTGCCTGCAGATCCTCACGTACATTGGAGCTGCTCTCCTTTATAAGCTCTGATTCCAGTGCTCCCAGCAGCGGTGAGGTTGGCTCTCCCACTTCAACCTGCCACTTGCCAGAGCCCCCGAGGGTATTCTTCTCTCGCCATTTTCTACCTGTGGAAGGGAGAAGAAGGGTTTTTATTATTCATTATTATCATGTAAGATGATGATTATCATGTAAGAACCCTTCCAGCAAATGACTGCCAAAGTTGCCTGTCAGCACACTGAGGTGATACGAAGATACACGTCTTAATCCCAGTCCTTTCCACCCTGGTGTGAGTGGATCTGTGAGCTGGCCTATTCCTGAAGTCACAAATCATGTACCAAGTGCCTCTCTCTTTTGCTACACGGTGCTGAAGCCATGGTGGGGTTGGAGCAGGTGCCGTGCTGCAGCTGATGTGGTTTTGGACAAGAGCCATAACCAACACCTTGCGTTTTGCGGTTGCGGAAGCCACCTAAAAGGCATATTTCACCCCGGCGTGTGCTACAGACCCGGTGCCTGGCTAGGCAGGATGGCAATCCCAGTTAGTCTGTCATGACAGATGAGCTGTTTGGGAGAGATCCTGGGCTAAAACAAGGTCTTCTCTTTTGCGGAAGTCAGAGAGCCCCCAGGCCCTAACTGAATCATAATTATGTCCCTACAAAATTTATCTACAGGCATGGTTATCCCCAGAATATTTAGGGGTGATCTCTTCCTGACCTCTCAGCACCCCAGGCCTGCAAGTGCAGACCCGCAGCCATTCTTCCCTGGGCCCACATCTCGCCGAGAGCCCCACTTACTCACTAACTGACCCGTCTTCACGTCGTACTCCTCCGCCATCTCCTTCCCATCCTCAAACAGGTAGTGGACCTTCCGCTTCCCTAGAGGCAAGGCAAGCAGGGAGGGTAAACGGGAATACACCTGTCCCTGGGTGTACGGCCGTGCCGCCTCACCTGGGGCCCCGTCCCCCCTCCCTGGGGCCGTGTCCCCCCTCTCCGGGGCCGTGTCCCCGCGTTGGTGGCCCAGTGGCCTTTTCCAGGGCCTAGCACAGGGCCGTGCCCGGCGTCGCTCCGTCCCCCCAACCCGCTCGTTCGCTGCAGGGTCCCCCCAAAACACGCCGGGTCGGGGGGAAGGATGGGGGCTATCCCGTCCCTCCGCCGCCTGCGCCGTTACCGTCCTGCACCAGCGCTGTCTTGCTGGCGGCCCGCAGCCTCTCCAGCCAGCTCGGCACCGCCATGGCGGCCGCGGCCCGTCACCAAGGCAACGCGGACACTTCCGGCCGCCACCCGGAAGGACTTTCCCGCCCGCCCCGGCCCGGAGGTGAGCGCGGCCTCTGCGGCCGGGTCCTGTCCCGTCCCGGGGCCCCGTCGCCCCCCGGCTGTTTGCGGGGGAAGCCCCCGCATCCCGTCGGGTTTGAGGGGGACACCCTTCCTCTCCTGGCGGCTGGGGTCGCGGGGGGCTCCGGCTGGTGCGGGGGGGTCTCGGCCCTCTGGCCTCCCCTCCTCAGGCCGGGGAGTGGGGGGGGGTGTCCTCCCTCGGACCCAGCCGCCGGGTTTGGGGGGGAGTTGTTCCTTGTCCCCGGGGTTTTGGTGCCACTAGCGCTGTGGCGAGCTGGGTGGGTGGCCTTGAAGCCTTCGTGGCCTGAGGATGCTCGCGAGGCAAGCCTTGGGACCCGGTGTGTGTGTTTTGGTTTAGATGAGTTAAAGTGCTACTTAGAAAAGCGCTCTTCCAAGTCCTGTAAAGGACTTAGGTGTCTAGAAGCTTGTGGAGTGTGTTTGTTTTTTGTTTTTTTTTTTCTTTCTAAAATAGGAAGTATTACTCTTTTGAGAAGTGTTGTTTTGGTCAAAATGTCCTGAAAACTGAAAAGTGTCTGCAAAGCTGAGTTTTAGAAAGGTAGCAGGGTTTCTTCTCCCCTGAGAAGAAGCAAGGACCTGAGTCCAGCTCTGGGTTGTTCTGCCCAAGGATTGTCTTTAATGCTTGGCCAAGAAGGTGACCACAGGGAGAAGACATGGCCAGGTGGGACCGTTTGCAGCTCTTCCAGGCTTAATGTGATTGGGTTTTGCTGGCTTGTGTGTGAGAAACCTCTAAGCAAAACAAGAAGTGTGGCACAGGGAGGAAACCAAGGTGGTGGTGACTTATCTCTGCAGCCGGGTGGAAGGGGCTGTTGGGATGTTGGGAATTTCGGGGTTTTGTTTGGGCTATGGAAAACCAAACTTCCTGGTAGCCTGGGCCTGTAGTTAGAATTATAGAATCATAGAATTGCCTAGGTTGGAAGGGACCTTTTAGCTCATGTAGTTCAATCTAAAAGCTCTAAAGTTTGCCTTTTCAGGGTTTGTGATGGTAAAGCTGCAGCTGTAGCTGTATTGGACTTGGCAGGTTAATCTTTACTAATCTGCCGTTCCCGGCTGACGCGGGGTTGGGGCTTTTCCTCCCGTGCTGTATGAAACACTTGGTGTTAATCACCTGCTTCGTCTCTCCTCGTTAGCAACTGGATTTCAGCCCTGGCAGGAGAGGTGTTTCCTCTCCCTCTTCGTGGGAGTGTGCTTAAGAAATGGCTGGGAAATAAAGTTGTTTCTGTTGGCTGGGCAGGAAGGAGCTCCAAATGTTAAAGTAGTTGAATATTTTCTATTAGAAGAGCCTGGGTTAGTGGTTTCTAAGACACTCAAGCAGGGTCTTCTTAAGTGGCTTTTCTAGTGGTCTCTAATTTCAGTTTTTCTGACCTCATGGGTTGAAATTCTTGTTTCCAGGTACCTCCCTTAGGGCAAGCATTTTTGGAAGGCAGCAACAAAAAAACCCAAACCAACAAAAAGTGTGCAAAATGAGCGGATCTGAAGTTGTGATTCTGTAATGGTGCCCTCAGCAACTTCCCTCTCCCTTACTGGTGTTCAGCAGTTGCAGGTAAACTTCCTGCCAGGCCTATGGAGCCACAAGGGATTGTCAAAGCCTTTCCCAAGAGGAAGAAGGTGAGGGATGACTCGGGGAAAAGCATCCCTCCAAAGGTCCCCAAAGAGGAAGTAGCAGAGATACCTGAGGGTAAGTCCTGCATGCCTGTGATGTGGAATATAATACTCCTACCCCAGCTTGTTAACTGGGGGTGCTGTTCCCCCAAAGGCTTTTTCTGGCCTCCAAGTGTGTTGTCTGTAGAGGCCATGGCCAGGTTGCTTTGGCAAACCCACTTGGTACCCTCCAAATACTGCTGGTGGCATCAAGTCCTATGTGAGATACATAGCCCAGGTGGTCTGGGACACCGTTTCTCCTGCCCCTGAGCTCCTGCCCCTGTGTTTTCCTCAGCAGAGTGGCTGAAACCCGTCGCTGCCTACGTGTTGCAAGCTGGCATCGGCCAAGCCCGGGCAGAGATCTTCCACAAGCAGATTGTCCAGAATGGGGGTGTTGTACACAACCAGCTCTCCTCAGAGGTGACGCACGTCATCGTGGCTGAAGACATGGACTGCGATCGGGCCTTTCGGCTCCTTAAATTAACCAAACTGCCTTCAGGGTTGCAGCTGGTGAAGGCGTCCTGGCTGAGTGCTTGCATCAGAGAGCAGAAGCTGCTGAGTACTGCTGGCTATGGGGTCTTCATCCCTCGCAGGTATGCAAATCCCACGCTTTAATTCCTTTCTACAGCGCTTCTATCCTAAACTGAACAGCACTAAAATCTGACCTCCGCTCAAAATCTCAGACTGCAGCTCCTGTGGGCATGACTCCGAGTCATTTCCATGTACAGACTGTGAAATTTAGCAATTTTGTGACCAATCGCCATTCTGTGTACCCCACAAAAACAAACATGGAGTAGGGTCCAGAAGTGCTAAGAGGCGCCCCATCACTTGCTACAGGTGCTAAAGGCACCTCTTCCTAATCCATCAGTGATAACAAGGAGACTTCTTTCAAAAATGCTGAGGATTAAATGCTGTTTCTTACTTATTGCAGATGAAAAGTAGAGAGAGAATTGACAACTAGGCACAAGAGGATATAAGGAGTGGAGCAGCAAGCAGCCACAGGTTAGGATCGAAATGTTTTGGCAAAGTTTTAGAGGGAAAAGTCAAAGAGTGAGGTACATAGGAGTGGAAGTTGCAGGACAGCAAGGTGGATGGAAATTGGGTAATTGAGCCAAAGCCAGAGTAATTAATATGTGAGAGTACAATTCATATGGGTTGTTTGCTCCATCCCAAAACATGCAGAAGAATTTCTCCGTCAAACTTCTGGGGGCTGAGAAGTACTCCTTATCCTGTACTGAGGCATCTGATCCATGACAGGTACCTGGAGGAGGGAGGACCGCAGAAAGAGCAGCAGCAGGTCCTGGGCAGTGAAGAGACCCAGCCTCCAGCAGAGGAGGAAGCAGTGAAACCAAACACTGAAGCACAGGCTGGGAATTCCTTGCAGCGAGGCCTGGGCACCCTTGGACACCAGCAGCTGGCTGAGGTGAGGCTACACACACCAGCCCTTGTTGTGAACAGATCCTGCGTGCTGCTTTCCCTGCCTGAGAGCATCCCTGCAGGGACACAATGCCAGATTTTCTCAGCAAAGGGAAGGCGTTTGGATGTTTCAGTGGGTTGGTGCTGGCAGTCTCAGGCTGTGGACGTGGTTACTGCTTCTCTTTGTCCTTCCTGGGTGTTAAAAGTAAAAACAACTCCCTTTAAATTCCTGTCCCAACCAGAGCATTTCCAGCTGAAGCAGTCCTGGTGCTCTGGTCAGGCCAAAGCTCACTCTAGTGATCATATTTCCCCTGCGTCCTTTTGAGGAGTATTCCCTGGCTGAGGATATCTCACTTTCAGGAAGCTGTCTCTGATATTTCACCCCGTGTTCCTCCCTGAGCCATACTGACCCATTCTCCACTCCTTGGCAAGCGCCCTTGCTCAGACACATGTGTGGTGGATCAGGTTGCCACTTGAAGGATTGTGGTGGTGTGCTTAAAATATCTGCGTTGGGTTATTAGTGGCCTCTGCTGTGAGTCAGCTTCTCCAACCTGCTCTTAACTTTCTTTCCTTTCTCTGCATTTTTGCTCAAGTTTGCTGAATTCTTTTTGGGAGGTGGCATTATTCAAATCTATCTGTAGCAAAGTTATCCCAGACCTCTAAGGGCAGTAGCTGCCTTGTAATGCTGGCATCTGTTTTCTAACATGATTCCAAATTTTGTTTCACAAAACCCTGTAGTTATTCCCTAACTGGCAGCCCACTGAGGGCTCCTTTGTTTTAGGCTTTCTTTTGAGTGCGTGTAGGGGGGGACCTTTTCTCCCTAGACTTAGTATCCAGTGTGTTATAGGCAGAGTTGGCTGCTTCTTAAACTCATCACCTTTGCGGTTACTCCATCTTTGCACATTTTTTGTAGCTCTAATTTAGTGGCAATCGTTATTAACAGATCTCACACTTAATGGGAGAAAGGATCTTTTGTGGTGTTATGGATCCTGTGGCATCTGCCCTGCTTTCTGCTCAGGTTTATTTTGGGTGGTCAGACAACTGCTACAGTCTGAAGCCTTATTGCCTTTTTTTCTTTTAAATCCCCTCCAGCACTGATATTTCTTATTAGTCTGTGCACAAAAGCAATATTTGTAGACATTCCAGTAAAATCTCTTGTCCCAAGTTTTGTGGGTTTGGGAAGGAGAAGACAACCCATGGGATGGTGAGGCCCCACCTTGAGTACTGTGTCCAGTTTTGGGCCCCCTACCATAAAAAAGACATTGAGGGGCTGGAGCGGGTCCAGAGAAGGGCAACAAAGATGGTGAGGGGTCTGGAACACAAGTGTTATGAGGAGAGGCTGAGGGAGCTGGGGTTATTCAGCCTGGAGAAGAGGAGGCTGAGGGGAGACCTTCTGGCTCTCTCCAACTCCCTGAAAGGAGGGTGTAGCCAGGGGGGGTCGGTCTCTTCTCTCAAGTCACAGGCGACAGGACAAGAGGAAATGGCCTCAAGTTGTGCCAGGGGAGGTTCAGGCTGGATATTAGGAAAAATTTTTTCACTGAAAGGGTTCTCAGCCGTTGGAATGGGCTGCCCAGGGAGGGGGTTGAGGCACCATCCCTGGAGGTGTTCAAAAGACGGGTTGATGTAGTGCTGGGAGGTCTGGTTTAGTGATGATGCTCCTTGTTTGTTGTGTGGGTGTCTATTTTTGTCAGTTAGGTTGACGGTTGGACAAGATGATCTTTAAGGTCCCTTCCAACCTAGAAGATTCTGTGATTCCATGATGTGCTTTAAAGATGGTACCAACCACTTTTAAAACCCAGCTACAGCAGTGAAGCTGAAATCTCAGCTCTAGAAGTCGTTTCCATTTGAGCACAGAGTCTTTCCTAGCTTGGGTGAGTGTTTTATTTTCCTCTGGGACGTGATGAGTGTGCCAGGGATTCATACTGAACAGGGGCTGCTTTGGGATTTCTGTGGATGTAAACTCCCGTGAGGAAACCCTCTTTCCAGTCAGACTGTAGCAACCACTGTGTGACTGGCAGCTGGGTGCAGTAGTTTTCTGTGGGGCAGAAACTGGCAGAAAAGTTACTCACTGGCTGAACCTTGGGTCTGTTGCCCCAGGCTGCCTGCCCCCATCTCAGGTGGCCTCTTGCCCCAGCTACTGGGCTTCAGCTGCCATCCCATCTCCTGTGCTGTGCTCCAGACAATCCATGCCTGTCCCAGTCTCACCCAGCTCTAGCAAGGTTGCTGCTGTGGGATCCTGGGGTATTTTAGAAGGTAATGGGACTGGTTGTTTTTGCATGTAGGGTTGTGAGGAGTCTATCAGCTTTGTACTGTTTCACCTGTGTGACACTGCTGGCTGAGAGGATGGAAATTGCCTGTTCCAGCTGCAGAGTTGGTCGTGTTGTGGTTGGATAACATGCTACTTAAATGCTTTTCTGGAGCTTGCTAACTGATCTGAAAACTCTGGGGCTTTGCTGCCCTTAGAGGGAACAGCGTCTTAAGGGAGTTGCGTTGCAGCAGTTTCGAGGCAAATAAAACTGCTTTAGTCTATCAAATCCTCAGTCTGACCCAGTTTTCAGAGTTATAAAACGACATGACAAAAGGGAAACATCCTGCCTCTTCTGTGGAAAGATTTCAGCTCTGTGCCTTACAGGAGTTATGTCTCCAGAACTCTTTAGCCAGCAGAACCAACCAGAGGCTGTAAGGGTATGGCTCTGACGTAGTTGGGCTGATACTCTGCAGAAACAGGACTTGTGTGCTGCCTGTAACTGCTGGACAAACAACCCCGTGCCATTCAGGGTTACTTCCACAGCACAGCAGCTCGTGGATCTTCCTGGACTCCTGTGTTTATACATCAGGAGAGAGGGGGACCCCAGTGAGTAGAGCAGTCTACAAAGCCTCTGTGCTGTTTCCCAATTCTATCCGCTTTTGTTCAGTTACCTGAAGCCAAGGCTCATTGTTTCTTAAGTCCACACAGAGGCATCCTAATGCTGGGGGTATCAGGGAATGTATACATTGGTTCTTTCTTCTGTCACTGTGGAATGTGGAGTCCTTTGTGTCATTCCTTCCTCCCCCTTTTCTCTTGCAGATAGCCATGGGGGAAAATGGAGGGGGGGGTGTAATTTACTACCCTGTTAAGATTTTGTGTCTGTAACGTAAAAACAGACTTCAGTGCCTATCTCTGCATCACGGGGTTGAAGGTGCAGAGTCAGGAGATGTGTCTATGCATCCACCAGACCAGAAGAAGCTTTCCCAGTGAGAGCAGGGAGCCAGGGTGTCCCCAAGCCAGGGATTTCAGCATTGTCATACCGTGCTGCTGTCAGCAGTTGCTCACTTAACCAGTGTCTCACCTCAGTGAGGTCTCAGAGGCTTGGCTAGAGGAGGGGTGTGTGTGCTTGGATCACAGGTGGCCAGCAGGATCTAGTCTCCTGTGCTTGGTGAGGTGTGCACGTAGCTTCCAGGGGTATATCTGTAGCTTGGGTCACAAAGAGCTTTGGTGTGGTGTGCCTATAACCAACAGCTTCCAGAGATGGCAGTTTGAGCACTGCATGCCCTGGGGGTTGGTTACTGCCCTGACTTCCTGCTCTCAGGAGCAGCCCGTGCCAAAGGGACATATGTGAGGCAGGCATTTATTTTCACATGGCTGCTTTTCTACCTCTCCCTAAAGAAAGTCTCTGATGATGAAGACAGCGAAGGAGAAGATGCTGGTGTCACCCAGGGAGATCTGGAAGCACTGATTTCTGGCCGTTACCCTGTGAAATCGTCAGAGGAGACCAGTGACAGCTCTTCTGCAGTGGCACAGCCTGCCAGCAAGTGGGTTTGTGCCCATTCCTCTAACAGCAAAAAGGAGAATCACAACCAGAGCATTACAGAGAAGCTGGAAGTGCTGGCAAAGGCCTATTCTGTCCAGGGGGACAAGTGGAGAGCTCTGGGCTACTCCAAAGCCATCAATGCACTCAAGAGCTACCACAAACCAGTCACCTCCTACCAGGTAAAAAAAATAAATAAAAAAATAAAAAATATCTGCCTTCTCAGTGTGGTGGAGCAGGGAGATAGACCCAGCATCTCAGCTCTGTTTTGAGCCAGATTCCTTTTTTCTTTTTGTATATGGAAAAGCCTCTCTTTGGGGCTTGGCAATTTCCTCCTGTGGGAGGGTTTTGATGGAAGCTGTGCAGCAAGTACAAGTTGTATCTATTGACCACCTGTGGTGTTTTGAGTTGAGCAGGAAAGAGGAGTCTGAGCCTTTTAGGGCCAGATCTGAGCCCCCATGAGATAGATGGGGCTTCTCCAGGCTCAGTGCAGGGATATTTTCACCTTCCCCTTAAGCATCAGCAACTGCCAGCATTTGAGATGGAAGATAAAACTAACTGGATCTAGGCCGGGTTGGCTGTGACAGTCCATCAGTGTTTCAGTCGTGTTCTCCATGCTTGTCCTTTTCCACTTGGCATTGAATTGATGCAGCTTGTGTGAGCCTGGCCTAGAGAAGAGAGCAGCAGTCAGAACTGGTCCTGCCACTCATCAGTCACTGATCAAATGGCTAACCAGGCTCTGCGTGGGTACAGCTCCCCAGCTTGTCTGTAGCCTTTGCTTTTCCAATAGTGGCTCTGGTTTCTTGCTAGGAAGCCTGTAAAATCCCTGGGATTGGGAAGCGAATGGCAGAGAAGATCCTGGAGATCTTGGAGAGCGGGCACCTGCGCAAGCTGGATCACATCAGTGAGAGCGTGCCTGTGCTGGAGTTGTTCTCCAACATCTGGGGAGCAGGGACCAAGACAGCTCAGATGTGGTACCAGCAGGTAAGTTGAGTCCCTTACACAACAGGTTCTCAGACTGGGGTTTGAAGACTGCTGCTGAGTGCAGGAGAGTTACTTTCACAAATAGTTGGCGATTGCCAATATCCACAGATGGGATTTGAGTCTGGTGTTAGAGGAGGAGCTGTGAGGTTGAGTACCATTGTGGGTGTCCCACTGGGGAGAATGGAGCTGAGACCTGAGTTTGGATGGAGGACAGGTGACAGAGACATGCAATAGGAGGAGTTGGGAACACTCTGCCTTTTCCGTTACATTGCTGCTTGGAGCCCATCTCACACTGCTCACTGCAAGGACACTGCTAAGAGCAAGGCTTGAGCCAGGACATCTTGGCCATGAAATGGCTCCTGGTCCAGTTGCTGGCCTGTTGGTTGGGCTGGCTCCTGTAGCTGTCAGAGCAGCCGTCCACCTTGTCTGGCAGTTGTAAAACTGAGGTTAAAATAATGGTGCCAACATGAGCAGCTCAGGCCACTAGGTGGGCTCCTTCTTTAAACACAGTGTGTTTCCTGAGCACAGTTACCAAAGCCTGGTTTTCTGGAGCGTTTGGTTTGTGACTGGAGTCTTTGCTGTCTTAAAAACATGGTTGTGTTCACACTGTAGGCTTTCCCTCGTTGGGATATTCTGGGTGTTGTTCCTTTACCTGCATCCCTGTGTTTTCCTTCAAGCTGTAGGAACACAGTGCTTTGAGAAGAGTAGCCTTCTGTCAGGTTTAGTTAAGATTCAGTTGCTGTGGGGTGGAGATTAGAGGTGTGTGTGGGTAGTGGGATTGCCTAAGTTTAGGAACCAGGTTCAAAGTGTGATCTCAGAAGCTGTGACTGGCTCAGACTTGAGATGGGTTAAATACAATCTCCCCAAATCTTAGTTGAAAGAACAAAGTCTTGGTAGATGTTTGAGTATCATCATCTGACCTGCCCTAGGGTTTCCGGACGCTGGATGATATCCGCACCAAGGCGACTCTCACCAGCCAACAGGCTGTGGGGCTGAAGCACTACAGGGATTTCCTGGAGCGCATGCCTCGGGAGGAAGCTGCAGAAATAGAACAGACTGTGAGTAGTTTGACCCTGGGTCCTCAGAGTGGAGTATGTCCCCTGCTGGGACATAACAGGAGGGTGGATGCTGTGGAAACGTCCCTCGCTGTTATAGCTGAGCTCTTCAGCCTCTCCTCTGAGCAGGGTCAGTGCTTGGGGGCCCCTTTTTGGGGCATGGGCACACAAGACTAGCTCTAGGCAATCCTGCTCTAGCTCTAGGCAATCCTGCTTCAGCAGGGGAGTTGGACTAGATGATCTCTATGGTCCCTTCCAACTCTAAAATTCAGTGAAATTCAGTGAAGACACCTTACTTTGCCCTGTAGGAAGGTTCAGTTGGAGTGCCTGGGGAAGAGGATACTTCACAGGTGTCCGTTCTACACACTGCTTTGAAAAAGGCTGAGTGTGACATGGGTGGGATGAGCAGCTTCCCAGCTCCTCCTGCCTCTCCTCTGAGATGTCTCCCTGGTGCTGCTTCTCCAAAGGAAGCTGTGAGAGCACCCAGTGAGCTGGTTGGCAGTGGGAGGACAGAGTGTGGCTATCCTTGCTGGAAGCGAAGGGGATCCAGGTTGCAGGTGGGTGCTGCTTGCTCTACAGAGGCCACGGCACTCCAGGATTATGGAATCACAGAATCACAGAATCTTAGTGGTTGGAAGGGACCTCTGAGATCATCGAGTCCAACCACACAAAAAAAAAAACAAAAAAAAACACACACAAAAAAACCCCCCAAACAAATACAAAACACACCACACCAAACGCCCACCAAAAACCCCGCACCCACCAACTAAACCCCACACTCAACACCTCACCATAAACCAATAACCTCGGGCACTAGAGCATGCCCTGAAGAGCCATGTCTATACGTTTCTTAAATCCCTCCAGGGATGGTGACTCCACCACCTCCCTGGGCAGGCTGTTCCAGTGCCTGACCACTCTCTCAGTAAAGTAGTTCTTTCTAATATCTAATCTAAATCTCCCCTGCCCCAACTTCAGACCATTTCCTCTGGTCTTGTCGTTCGTCCTTTGGGAGAAGAGGCCAACACCTGCCTCTCTACAACCTCCTCTCAGGGAGTTGTAGAGGGCAATGAGGTCTCCCCTCAGCCTCCTCTTCTCCAAACTCAACATGCCCAGTTCCCTCAGCCTCTCCTCATAGGAATGCTGAGCCGGTGTACCCTAATGTGAGCAGAGAGTTTGGGGGACACACTGTCATTGCTACCCCTGTGCTCTCTGGTCACCATGGCAGCAGCAGCCAGCATGACCCTGTCACTCGGCCACAGGGCCTGGCCACAAAGAATACACTCCTGCCAGGCTCCTGCTGGGGTGTCAGTCCCGTGTGCCGGATTAGCCATTTTGGTGGGGAGTGCTCCCTTTCCCAAGCAGGCTGGGTCGAGGAGCTGGCTCTTGGGGGTGGGTCTATTGTTATCTTGATGGGATTACTGCACTCCCCTCCATACACACACACACACACACCTCTGATCCAGGCCCAGGAGAGAGAATGAGGGATTAGTCACTGTCTGTGCTGCCTGTCACAGTGAGATCTGAGGAGCTTTTAGGCTCTTGGGTGGGGCTGGGAGTTTTCTAGAAATCTTCATTTAAAGCCAGAAGGGGGGTAAGGACACCAGAGGAGGGCTTGCTCCGCATGAGAAAGGCTTGTGGCTTCTTGGAGCACCTCTGGGGCAAAGGTTAATGGGTTTATCTCTTGCTAATGAAGGATGATCCCCAAGAGTGACAAGGGGCTGTGGGCATGGACACTGCCTTCCTGAACCCCAGCCTCTGTGATGGCCTCGTCACTGGGAATTGCTGAGCCCCTAATTATTTGCTGCCAGCAGGGTGATTGGCACAATCAGACCAAGGATACTTTACTCCTGTCCAAGGACTTGGGAGCTTTTCTTAAGCATTTATTGAATGAAGCCATCAGAATTAGCACTCTCTGCACAAAACAGGATCTGGGGTCCAGCCTGGAGGTGGCTGCATCGGGGGAAGTTCTGATTGTATGTGTGTGATTGCTGGCAGCAGCGTGTTGGCATCAATCCATTCCTTCTAAAACACTACAACATTGGTCATTTTTCTGGGTTAGGAAGCCCAGCTCTCCTGCAAAGGCAGAGCTTCTGGCAGGAGTGGACTCCAAGGGACACTTGCAGGTTTTCTGCTGTCTTGGGTCCTGCTGGGGAGACTCTCCATGAGCCCATCTCTGCTTCTGAAACAGGACCTCTGACCATCATGTTGAACTGATTCTCGTTGTGGGCAGAGCTGGTGAGCTTTGCCCTCCTGGCCCACAGCAGAGCTGAAAAACTTCTTGGAAACCAAAAGCTCTAAGAGGTTATGCTGTACTTTGCCACCTCAGCATTGCTGCATCTTCCTGCTTGTCCCAACGCAGCTCCAGCCCAGTGCTGATGACTGATGGTAGTGCCATGGTGGGTCATCATATTGTGTGGCAGTGTGCTGGGCATTGGCAGGACTGGGTGGAGGCCACCCTGGCTCACGTGGCTCCTGAGAGCAGGCCAGCCTCCTTGGTGGGGCAATTTGCCACGCCTGCCAAATGTCTGCTCTGCATGGAGACCCTGGAGATGCAGGACAGGCCACAAGGCAGAGAGAAGATTCTCTGCTGTCTTGATGGAAAGAGCATGGAGAGACTGGTGTGTGATTCCTCATCCCTCTTTCTCTTCTTGGAGGTCAGACAAGCTGCCCTGGCCCTGAAGCCTGGGCTCGTGTGTGTGGCATGTGGCTCCTACCGTCGGGGGAAGCCCACCTGTGGGGACGTGGATGTGCTGGTCACTCACCCAGATGGGCAGTCTCACCGTGGGGTGTTCAGCAAGCTGCTCGACAGCCTCCACAGGAGCGGTAAGAGAGCTGGAAACTGGCACGTGGTGTTTGAAGCTGTTCTTAGCGTGGCCGAGCTGAGGAGGCAACGAGGTGGATGGCCTTCATGAAGGGTGGGTGATTGGTTTTCCCAAGAACAGGGCAACGTGTGTGTCCTTAAGAGTGCTGCCCTTGGTCTTGGCCCTACTGCAGTGGCAGCTCTGCAGCTGAGGTTATGGAGGGAGTGTTGCTGCAGCTCAGCCCAGCTTTCCCCCTCTACTCCACACTGGTGGGGCCACAACGGGAATCCTGTGTCCAGTTGTGGGCTCCCCAGAGAGACAGAGAACTACTGGAGAGAATCCATCTTAGAGGAACAAAAATGATGGAGGGGTTGGAGCATCTCCCTGATGAGGAAAGGCTGAGAGAGCTGGGGCTCTTCAGCCTGGAGAAGAGAAGGCTGAGGGGAGACCTTCTTCATGCTGACAAGTCTCTAAAGGGGGGGTTGAAGGAGGATGGAGCCGGACTCTTTCCAGTGGTTCCCAGGGACAGGACGAGGGGCAACGGGCACAAGCTGGACCATGGGAAGTTCCACTCCAATGGGAGGAAGAACTTGTTTGGGGTGAGGGTGGCAGAGCCCTGGCAGAGGCTGCCCAGGGAGGGTGTGGAGTCCCCTTCTCTGGAGATCTTCAAGCCCCGCCTGGATGCTCCTGAGTGATGTGCTCTGGGCAGCCCTGCTTTGGCCGGGGGGTTGGACTGGAGGGTCTCTAGAGGTCCCTTCCAACTCTGACAATTCCATGATTCTCCTGTCTGCTTGAGGCTGTCGGGGCTGAGGCTGGGTTGCCCTTGGGGTCCCACAGCACGTTATGAGACACCTCAACCACTGTCTGGACAGTACGAGTTTGGGGTGGAGGTGTCATTCTCTACCGTTCAGCTCCTCTCTGCCTGTTCTTTCCCCCCAGGCTTCCTTACAGATGACCTGGTGAGTCAGGAAGACAATGGAGATCAGAAGAAGTACCTGGGGGTGTGCCGGCTCCCCGGGCCAGCCCAGCGTCACCGCCGGCTCGACATCATCGTGGTCCCTTACAGTGAGTTTGCCTGTGCCCTGCTCTACTTCACTGGCTCCGCTCACTTCAACCGCTCCATGCGGGCCCTGGCCAAGACCAAGGGCATGAGCCTCTCCGAGCATGCCCTCAGCTCAGCTGTGGTGCGAGGCCCTGGAGGTGTCAAGGTGGCATCTGGCCATACTTTACCCACCCCTACAGAGAGAGATGTCTTCATTCAGCTGGGGCTGCCTTACCGGGAGCCCTCAGAACGGGACTGGTGACAACTGGTTGTCACCCAGCACCCTGGGCCCGCTGCTGTGCTGCTGTTTTGAAGGGTGCTGGTTTCCCCAGTGCTGCTCTGTGGTGACTGCAGATATGGTGGCATCTCACAGCAAACTGGGGCTCCTCGCAGGTGCAGGGCCCTGTTGCCAGCAGAGCTGTGTGGCTTCACCCAGCAGAGGCCGTGGGCTGGAATGAAGAGCTGCTTAATGCTACACACAGCCTCATGTCGTAGTTCTTGTGCAGCCCTTGGCTACCAAATGGGCTTGCTGCCCGTTGGCTACCTTGGCCCTGCTCTCCCCAGGGAAGCTTCAGAAGGCTGGGCTGCAGAGCCTTGTGGTCCAGCTCTTCCCAGTGCTTGGGAGCAGGGGAAGTGGGGTGCATCTTCCTTTGTGTCTGAGCGCAGAAACCCCAAAATCTCCGGCCCGAGCTGGGTATGAAGGCAGCCAGGGTCTGGCTTGGCCCTGGAACAGGACTTCCCCCTTCTCACTGCTGCTAGCAGTAGCTACTGAGGGCATCATGAAGGGTCCCCCTGTGCTGCTGCTGTGTCCTCCCTCCATCTGAGGTTACTTGTGACCTCTGGTGGGGTCTTCCCTGCACGGGGCTGGGCTGCTGTGACTGCCACCAGCTTCCCCTGGAGCTAGATAAACTTTGAAGGAGCTGCAGGGTCCCGATGTTCTGTGCTGGCTTGCTCTGAGCCCATTGTGTGCTGTGAACCCCCTGGTCTGGCCCCAAGGGCTCCTTTCCTCTCAGTGGGGGAGATGAATGGACCTGGTGGCTCAGGGGAGCCGTGCTCAGGAAGGGTTTGAATGTGATGGCAATGAATGTAACCCGGCAGGGCTGCGTGTGTGCACAGGAGCTGTGGAGGCAGAGAAACACCAGGCAGTTTAGTTCTAATTTGGGTGAAGCAAAGCTTTCCCTTTGTCCGTGTGTAAGTCATGGAGTCATCTCCACTCCACTCATGATCAGAGTGTGTGTCTGTGCCATATTTGAGTGTACACGTACACACGTCCTGGCCCCATCAGCTCCGTGGGAGTGATATTTATTTCTCAGGAAACCTCAACTTTTTTGATATTCTAGAGATGGATGTCCCAGAGGCTCCCAGTGCTCTGTCTCCGTTATGGGTATTGCAGTGTTCCTCCTGGCAGAGGAGGTGTTTCTGTGCCAGGACCCCGGGGCTCCCTCTGGCCAGTCTCTGGGCCTCCTCCTCCTCCCTTGTCTGGTGGGGGTCCTGCCACCCCCGCTCTGCACTCTGCTTGTCTTTGTCACCTGCAGTGACAAGCTGTGTGTTTGCTGCCAAGGGCATTAAACCTGGTGGGTTTGCACAGTTTCTTGCTGCACCATCAGCCATGGCTGGTGGGCACCAGCAGTGGGGCTGGGGTGTTTGCTGGGCACACCTTGACCCCAGTGGTGTCACTTGTCAGCCCAGCTTTTCTGCTGAACACTTGATGGAAATGAATGTCTGCTGGTATGTCTCGGTGCTTTGAAATGTGAAGTGTAATAAATGCTTTCGTTCTTTTTCCTTCTCATCTCTGTTTGCTCTCTGCCTGTTGGGACTCTTCCCTCTGGGTGACCAGGGTCCCTCTTGTGCTGGCCCATCTCTCCTTGCTCTCAGTACAGGCAGGGAGAAGGCAATGGAGACCTTCACACTGTTGGATCACCACTTCTGGCTCTCAGAGCAGGGATTTGCTGGCCACCATCGTGCCATGGCAGAGTGGGATCTGGCTCTATCCCAGTATCCAGCTGGTCATGGGGCTGAGCTGGATGGAGCTGGCTGTGCCGAGAAAGGAGCAATTCCTGAGCTCTGAGCCTTGGGCTGAGCTCTTGGTGTGAGGAGTCAGGAAGGCATCATAGAATTGTCTGGGTTGGAAGGGACCTTTCAGATCATCCAGTCCAACCATCACCCTAACTCTGATAAAACCCATCACTAACCCATGGCTCTAAGCACTATGGCAACCCGGCTTTGAAATCCCTCCAGGGATGGGGCCTCAACCCCTGCCCTGGGCAGCCCATTCCAAGGCTGAAGAACCCTTTCCATGGAAAAATTGTTCCCAATCTCCAATTTGAACCTGCCCTGGTGCAACTGGAGGCCGTTTCCTCTTGTCCCATGGCCTGTGACTTGGGAGCAGAGACCGACCCCCCCTGGCTACACCCTCCTTTCAGGGAGTTGGAGAGAGCCAGAAGGTCTCCCCTCAGCCTCCTTTTCTCCAGGCTGAACCCCCCCAGCTCCCTCAGCCTCTCCTCATCAGACTTCTTCTCCAGACCCCTCCCCAGCTCCGTTGCCCTGCTCTGGACCCGCTCCAGCCCCTCAAGGTCTTAGTTTTGGGCCCCTCCCCACAAAAAGAACCCAGCCCTTGAGGTGGGGCCTCCCCAGTGCCCAGGACAGGGGGACAGTCGCCTCTCGAGTCCTACTCACCACACATCACTGTCAGCTTTTCAGTGTTTCATCAAAGATTAGGGTGTGTGGGTGTCCCCTGTGCCTGAACACAGCTCAGTCTCTGGAGCTTGGAGATGCTTTGGTTGTTGAAGGGGAATCTGAGCAGCCTGGAAGCCCAAGGAACACGTGGAGATGAGCAACAAGAAAAGTTGGCTCAGAAGGGAGATGGAAAAGCCAGAGAGGGACAGCAGGTGCTGGCGTGGGCAGGTGGAAGCAGTGAGGGCTGGGCTGGGTTCTCTAGGGCCAAAGGGTGGTCAGAACCAGACCAGGGCGTGGGAGGTCCAGGAGGAGCACTCTCTCCCCAGGAGGGCTGTGGAGCTCAGGGACCAGCCCCAGAGAGGAGGGTGTCCCCATCCTTGGGGTCAGCCAGGCCTTGTCCAGGGCTGGGGATTGTCCTGCCCCAAAGGGAGGTGAGATGGGGGGTTTTTCCTAGAGCCTTATGCCTGGCAGCCCTGGGCACGGCCTGTTTCTTCCTGAGCTGGGGCAGGGAGTGGAGTATGGAGCTCCTCACCCCAGTCCCTTGATGAACACAGGTTTGCCTCCACCTCTGGATGGTGGGATGAGCTGTTCCCAGGGGGCTGGGGCTGCCCCTCTCACCAGGGCCTCGTGCTGGGGACATCACTGGAGATGGGGTAGAGGTGGCACTGCTGGCCCCTCGCTCCTCACCCTTTGTCACCCCCTGCTCCGGGGTCACGATTCACACCCTGGTGCCAAAGGGCTGCTGCAGGAGCACATCAAAGCCCTGCCCCTGCTGTTTGTGCTGCTTTTACTGGGGGGGGAGGCCAGCCATGGGGCTGTGTGTGGTGGGGGCTGCTCAGGAGCAGGACTGTTTGCCCCAACCCCTCGGGAAATGGTGGTGAGGGTGGCCCTAGGGCTTACGTGCCATGGGGGGGCTGCTGAGGGGGGTGTCCTGCCAGTCCCCTGCCCTGTGAGGGAATAACACAGAATCTTCTGGGTTGGAAGGGACCTTAAAGATCATCTTGTCCAACCTAATTTTGACAAAAATAGACACCCACACAACAAACAAGAAGCATCATCACTAAACCATATCTCCCAGCACTACATCAACCTGTCTTTTGAACACCTCCAGGGATGGGGTCTCAACCACCTCCCTGGGCAGCCCATTCCAATGGCTGAGGAAGGGGCCTGATGCCTGTCTGTCCATCCCCTCCCACCCCTCAAGTCCCTGCCCGTGATTTTTGGAGGGGGCAGAGGGCCCTCCTGTGGCCAGCTGCGGCCAGGTGGGGTGAGGATGAATGGGGACCATCTCCCCCGGGTGCAGCTGCGGTGGATGCAAAGGGGCAGGAGGTGAAGGAGAACAACGAAGAGTTTGTTCATCCAGAGCAGTTGGGGGATGACATTTCTGGATGCTGAAGGCTCCCTCCTCCCCCTCATCCTGGGACAAACATGAGGGGCTGGAACGTGCTGCCCAGTGCCAGCCCTGAGTTGAACAGTCTCTCCTGCCGTGGATGGAAAGGACAGAGCTGCTGAAGGGACACAGTCTCCTTCTTTGTGCCCCTAATCCTGCCCTCCATCCTCCCAGTCACTTGCAGGTGCCAAGCCAGGGGCTAACTCCAGCCTGGCACCCCCTGAGGCACCATGCTCCTCTGAGACCCCTCTTTGGCCCTTGCAGGAGGGCAGGACCTGGCCACCCTTCACCCTCTTCTAAACCCTGAGGTGCCCTTGAGAAGAAGGTACAAGAGATGGGGCTCTCGGGGTGCCTGGGAGAAGGTGGGTGCTGACCCCCCAGGGGAGGTGCAGGCAGGGTGAGCAAAGACAGATTTAGGCAGCTCTAATGAGGTGTTGCCTCGTTCCTTCTTCCCAGGAAGGGGCTTTGGCTATTCCCCCTCCCCAGCACCCCCCGTTCCTCCCTGGCTGTGCGTCTGATCATCCTGAAAATTAAAAATAAACCCAAACGCAGCAGCACTTAAAGACCAAATGGAAAGTCGGGGAGCTGGGATGGGTGCTCAGCTCCTGCTGCAGAGCCCTGCACCCCCAGGGTGGGCCCAGAGCAGGGTTTCAGGTGATTCCCATCAGGAATCCCTCTGCCCCCCCCATCCCCCCCCAGGAAAAAAGGAAGAAAAAGCCTGGGTGAAGTCACTGCAGCGCTGAGCGTTGGGCAGCTCTTCCCACCCTGCTCCCTACCCTCTGGGGAGGGCACCCATCCTTGGCCATCACCCTCATCCTCGTGCAGGGGTAGGAGGGTGCCGGGGCTGAGGAAAAGGGGTGCAAAAAGCAGATTTTTTTGGCTTCTAAGGCGTTTACTCCGTCTTCAGGAGTAAATATTTGCTAATGGCAGCACGGGCGGGCGAATGTAAGGGAGCTGCTCCCCCCGCCGGAGCAGGCAGGGAAATGAATATGAATTTATCATGATTAGGTGAACCCAGCAGGGAGAGCGGGAGAGAGAGGGCTAGGCAGGGAGGGGGCGGGCGAAGATGGATCTTTGCAATAAAATTAAATAAGGACACCAAATAGAGTCACTTCTCACACGCTCGCCCGCCCTCCTGCGCGCGGGGCCTCTCCCGCCTCCCGCGCTCCTCTGGCTTTGCTGATTTCTCTCTTTCCTCAAATTTATGAGGCCAATTATGAAGATGAGGTTGGAAGTTCTCGGAAGTTCACTAAATGCAAAGTGTGGTCCCTGCTGTTCCCATCAAATTAATTAACCAAGCGCTATTGATGGCCGGGGCGACATTGGCACGGCGTGGAGAGAGAGAGAAGGGCTGCTGGGGGGCAGGCGGGGGGGGTCTGCAAAGAGGGGGAGCAGAGGTCCCTGCAGGGCATCCCCAGGGCCAGAGAGCAAGTGGATGAAGCTGGTGGGCAGCAGGAGTGAGGGATGCAGGAGGGGATGTGCCACGTCCCAGCATTGATGCTCAGCATCTCAGACTCTGTTTCCAGCACCCCTGGTCTCTGGCTGGAGGACGATCCAGCCAGGTGATGGGATGGGAGCAGATGGGCTGATGGGACCGTGGCATGGGTTTGTGGTAGGACACTGTGCCATGTCCCGTGGTGGAGGCCACAGCAAGGGCTGGTGGTCAGCATGAGCCTGTGCCTGGAAGAGCAAAGCCTGCAGCCAGTGCCCTCTTGGGCACTCCAAGATCTAGCCAGGCTGGGATGATGCCAACCCCGATCCCATGGGGATGGTCTGCACCGGGGCCTCCCACTCTGGTAGACAAGTGACTTTCCTTATGGCTTAGCAGGGATGGTGCAGTCAGGACAGACCCACTACCACCTTCCCCTGTCCCCTGTGTCCCAGCAGCCCCCCCTGCCTCAATTTCCCTACCTGGGCTATGGGAAACAGCCTGTCTGTGCCTTGCAGGTAAGATCTCATGAGCTGAGTGTCCTGATCTGACAAGGCCCCTTGGCCATCCCCAACCTTTGTGTGCAGCATCCCAGCTCCTCAGGGCTCTCAGAGAGGGTGAGAGCTTCACGGTGGGGACAGCAACCCTGTGCCTAAAGCACCCCAGCTCTTATGGGGCAGTTCCTGTGCCCGGACTAGCTGTGCCCCCACACTCACTGTAGGGAATGGCTTTTGGGGATCCAACGTGACCCACCATGTCTGCCATGTCCCATGGTGCTGAGATGCTTCCTCGGTGCTTGCTGCCCGTGTGAGCAGCTGGGATGCTGCTGCAGAACAGGGGGTGTGAGTCCCTGGACTCTCACGTTCAGCTCAGACAGTGGGCAAACAGCCTTTCCTTTGCCTGTCTTGGGGTGAAAATTCACTCAAAACAGTTAATATATTTATTGAGATTGTAAAAAGGTCCAGTACTCAGGCCCTGGATCATACCCAGGACATCTCCACTTGCTCCGCTGCTGCTCTGTGCCTCAGTTTCCCCTCCTTGAATTTCCTGAGGCTGTTTGCTGCTGAGGTTGTCACTGTGTGCAAGCAGCATCCCAGTTTCCGAGGAGCCTTGGTAGCATCTAGTGGCCGTGAGATGTGACCAAAGAAAGGCATAGTCCTCACCCCCAAACCAACCTCGTTTCACACCAAACGTGTGTGCCATAAGGCTCCCTGCTTGCACCACCCTGGCACAGGGACCTTCCCCTGTTGTGCCACGAGGTCCTGACTTCAACCCTTTTGCGGTTGCTGTCTGCATCCAAACCAACCACCTTGTTCCAGGGGTGAAAGATGCAGGTTGTGTCCTCAGACCAGGGATCTCCCAGTGGGGAAAGGACACAGAGGTCCCAAGGGAGACCAGCTCCGAGCATCCTGCAGGTGTCCAGCTCCCAGCACGGCATGGCCGTGCATCCCACGAGGATGCTTTGCAAGAGGATCTAGATAGATTGGATCACTGGGCCAATGCCAATGGAATGAGTTTCAACAAGGGCAAGTGCCAGGTCCTGCACTTGGGCCACAACAACCCCCTGCAGCGCTACAGGCTGGGGAAGTGTGGCTGGAGCTGCCTGGAGGAAAGAGACCTGGGGGTTCTAGTTGACAAACGGCTGAATATGAGCCGGCCGTGTGCCCAGGGGGGCAAGAAAGCCAATGGATCCTGGCTTGTATCAAAAATAGTGTGACCAGCAGAAGTAGGGAGGTGATTGTGCCCCTGTACTCAGCACTGGGGAGGCCACACCTCGAGTGTTGTGTCCAGTTCTGGGCACCTCAATACAAGAGAGATCTGGAGGTGCTGGAGTGAGTGCAGAGGAGGGCAACGAAACTGGTGAGGGGGCTGGAAAACAAATCGTATGAGGAGCGGCTGAGGGAGCTGGGACTGTTTAGTGTGAGAAAGAGGAGGCTGAGGGGAGACCTCATCACTCTCAACAACTTCGTGAAAGGACACTGTAGAGAGGTTGGTGCTGGTCTCTTCTCACAGGTAATTAGTGACAGAACGAGCTTCAAGCTCCAACAGGGGAGGTTTAGATTGAACATTAGGAAAGAATTTTTCACTGAAAGAGTGGTCGGGCATTGGAACAGGCTGCCCAGGGAGGGGGTGGAGTCACCATCCCTGGCTGTGTTTAAGGGCCGTTTAGATGCAGTGCTGAGGGACATGGTGTAGGGGAGGACTTTGTAGAGTAGGGGAGATGGTTGGACTCGATGATCCCAAGGGTCTCTTCCAACCTAGACCATTCTATGATTCTGATTCTATGATGCACCATCCCCGTGCCCGGCTGTGGCCACGTGCCTCCACCTTTCCTGCTCCTGCTTCTTTTCGCTGGCTTCGCTCCTGCCCCGGTGATCAATGGGCTCTGCTCGGGCTGGAAAACAGCACAAACAGAGGCATTTACAAACCCGCTGTCTCTGCACCAGGGCCATAACTCAGGCTGCCCGTCTCTGCTGGGAAGGGGAGGCAGGCGCTCCTGCTCCGGTGCCAGCACCGACATCTCCCCTCTCCTGGTAAATGCGTTACTTGGGGATAATTTACCTGCTTATGTCAAGTTTGAAAAAGAAATAGACTGGCTGCTCTGCAGCTCCTGACACTTGGCAGCGTGTGTGCACGGACACACGTCTCTACCTGGAGAAAAAAAAAATAAAAATAAAAATCTCCTGAGCTGTAAGGAGCGGTTTAAAAACGCCTGGACCTCAGAGCTGCAGGCCCTGCGGGGAGTCTCAGGTGTCTAGTACTGAGGCTGAGCTCTCACCGTGGTCTGTTCCTCCGTGGGGTCTGCAGCCACCCACCGGGCTCCCCAAGCCTCACGGGGGGCTGCTCAGGGCTGGATGCCCCATGTCCCCCCCCAGTGTGCCAGGACCTGGAGCGGGTCCAGAGAAGGGCGACAAAGATGGTGAGGGGTCTGGAGAATAAGTCTTATGAGGAGAGGCTGAGGGAGCTGGGGTTATTCAGCCTGGAGAAGAGGAGGCTGAGGGGAGACCTTATTGCTCTCTACAACTACCTGAAAAGAGGGTGTAGAGAGGTGGGGGTCGGTCTCTGCTCCCAAGTCCCAGGTGACAGGACAAGAGGAAACGGCCTCAAGTTACACCAGGGGAGGTTCAGGCTGGATATTAGGAAAAATTTTTTCACTGAAAGGGTTCTCAGCCATTGGAATGGGCTGCCCAGGGAGGTGGTTGAGGCCCCATCCCTGGAGGTGTTCAAAAGACGGGTTGATGTAGTGCTGGGAGGTCTGGTTTAGTGATGATGCTCCTTGTTTGTTGTGTGGGTGTCTATTTTTGTCAGTTAGGTTGATGGTTGGACAAGATGATCTTTAAGGTCCCTTCCAACCTAGAAGATTCTGTGATCGGGGGGGGTTTGGGGGGGGGGGGGGGATGCTGGTGCAGCTGCCCTGTCGCCCGTGGGTGAGGACCTCAGTGGGGACCCTGGGTGGCTGAGAAGCTGGTCCATCCCCGGAGCGGTGGGCTCGGGCAGCCGCCGTCCTGGCAGGCAGCAGATGGAGCTGGAGGACCGGGGATGGGCAGACACGGGCGGGATGCAGGCAGCTGGGCCTCTGCTCAGCCAGCCCCATCCTGGGGGGGAAACACCCCCCTCCCCAGCCAGGCCTCCCCAGCAGGACAGCGGGAGGTGCCCCCGCCTGCAGACTGTCCCCTCCAGCTCCCTGCTGCCACCTCTTTGACCTGGCTCCAGACACATCACCCCTCCCAGGCAGGGCCATCCACCACAGGTGAGTGATTCCCTCCCTACAAAACCAGTGTCCCCCAGTGTCCCCCAGCTTTGGGACTAGGGATGCTGGGCTGCTGGCACCAGGGTACGGGGAGGATCATCAACTGGGATGTTGTCTGGCTCTAAGGGAAACTCCTGCTCTCCATCTCCCCATGAGATCCATTCTTCTCAAAAACCTTCTCTCCTCCCCAACTCCCCTTTCCCCAGTTTTCCACCCCTTTCCTACAGCCATCGTTCTGGGAGTGGTGGCCGTCTCCCTCCTCCTCCTGGCTGCAGCCACCTACTGTGCTGTGAAGAAAGGTGAGCGATTTTGGGACACTGAGGGGAACCAATGAGGTGAAACCCAGAGGGAAGGTTAAATCACCCATCCTGGTTTAGCATTGCCAGTTCCTTACCCCGTATCACGGGACGGGGAAAGAAACCTTTCCTTTATAGGCTCTGGGGAGGAAGGGTAGCTGTGACCGAGAAGACCAAATGATTCCCTGCTCCTGGGAAAGGTTTGTTCCCAGCCCTCTGGGCACAAGAAGGGAGTCCCCGGGGGGCAAACACGGCTCCTCAACACTTGGGCTGTGCACAGCTGCTGAGAGCTTGGGTGGGCACCCCCCGAGGTCATCCTCCGTCCCCTCTCTAGGCTATTTGGGGCTCAACCCTCCTGCTTCATTGTGGGCAACTTCTCTCCGGCTGGCCCGTGTCCCCTCTCACCTCTGTGACCAGCTGGGGTGGGTGGCACCGTGCTCCCCAGCAGCCTGAGGACCTGCTGGGAGGACGGTGTGGTCCATGGGGAGCCTGACCTGGATGTGAGGGAGCTGGGGCAGGGTCTCCATCCCTGGGGAGCATCCCAGGGCTGAGAGGGGGTCCTGTGGCACGTGGCGGGTGCCTGTCACTGCCATCCCCCGGTCTCCTTGCCCATAGGGAGCTGATTTATGTCCGGGCCAGCCTGTGCTGACCTCCTACTTTGGCTCAGGCATTATAACTAATGGCAGGTCAGCAGAGCTACAGCGAAAGTGAAGTGGCTGGTGGGGGGATGTGGAGGGGGGCG